TGGCTAATATTTTTTGTATTTTTTTTGCAGAGACAGGGTTTCGCCCTGTTGCCCAGGCTGGTCTCAAACTCCTGGGCTCAAATGGTCCATCTGCCCTGGCCTCTCAAAGTGCTGAGATTACAGGCATGAGCCATGGTGCCCAGCTGGTAGTGTAATTTTTAGTTATTTAGGTCTGTTTTAGTTATTTAGGGAATCTTATAAATATTCATGAGGGATAACATTGAGTTCTTTTCTAATAATACAGTCTCCCATTGCCCTTCTTTCCTTCTCCTTTGACATTACCCAATAAGATGTTCAAAATTTTTCTACTGGGATGGTGAAATATCTTTTATTATTTGTCATGCTTAACTACATTTGATCTAGAGGAAACCAGTTACCAGCTTCCAGATTTTCTGTTAGTATAATCCCAGAGGATGTGCCAAATCCTCCAACTAACAAGTTGCAAAAAAACATGAAATTTTATCTACCAGGCTCTCTCATTAGAGACCCAGTGCCTATAGTGTTTTTTGCTGGCTGGTTTAGTCTGGTTTTTGTTGCTTAAGAATAATCTGAATCTGGATAATTTATAAGGAACAATATTTGTTTTTTTACTGTTGTGGAGGCTGGGAAGTCCAGGGTTAAGCCTGGGCGTCTGGTGAAAACCTTCTTGCTGGTGGGGACTCTGCAGAGTTCCTAGATGGCACAAAGCATTACATGGCAACGGCTGAAGTGCCTAACTCGGGTCTCTTCCATCTTATAAGGACACCAGTCCCCTTCCTGAGGTAATTTACTTATTCATTAAGCCATTGATCCATGAATAGATTAACTTATTCATGAGGTCTGAACCTTCAAGACTCAATCACCTTTTCAATCCCCACCTTTTATTACTCCCACTTTGCGGATTAACTTTCAACATGTGTTTTGGAGGGGACAACCATTCAAACTTAGCAGTGGCTGATCACATACACTCCCTCTGCTGAGTTTGTAAGATTCTAAACTCTCAGAACATAGGAGTTAAGAAAATAATATACTTTTTGCATAAACAGTTTAGATACAATCAAGCCCTGTTATTAGTTACATTGGTGGGGCACTCCCTAAATCCAGTTCCTAGACACCATAAAAGGTCCAACTTTGAGAATAAGAATTTGTAAGGACATGTAGTCTCAGGACTGCTAATGGTGGCTCTCTTCTGCACAATCAGTAGTAGGACTTTGTCAGTAGGACTTTGACAAGAACTGCAACCCACTACAGGAATAGACATTAGGGTGATCCAGGCAATAAGACTCATTTAACTCACCAAGAAGAAACCTGTTCCTATTTACCTGTTTGGTAAAGTAACTTTACCAAACATGTTGAATTCTACCATCAAAATGGCTGTGTGGGAGAAAGTGAGTATAGAGAGAATATGAGAGAGTTTACTATGTCATTGAATAAATGCTTGAAAAGCACAGCATCATATGAAGTTTATGAATTGAGTATAGCTTTTTCAGTACTGTCACTCAACCTTTGTCCTCTGTCTATGTGGAATGTTTCAGGACACAGTGGCCTTTGAGGATGTGGCTGTGAACTTCACCCAGGAGGAATGGGCTTTGCTGGGTCCATCACAGAAGAATTTGTACAGATATGTGATGCAAGAAACCATCAGGAACCTGGACTGTATAAGTAAGGATGGTATCATGTCTTCACTTAATCAATTACAGACATTTGTTTCATGGTCATCAGTGCTGTTCAATGATTTGAAATATGGAAAGGGCATATGATGGACTCTTGAACAACACAGAATTCAGAGGTGACAGCCCTGAAAGAAGTACTTCCTCAAATAATTTTTTTCCACCACAGCTTAGGCAGCCATTGACCAGCAGCCTTACTGGTAACATAAGCAGTTGATTGGCTGGGCACGGTGGCTCACGCCTGTAATCCCAGCACATTGGGAGGCCAAGGCAGGCGGATCATGAGGTCAGGAGTTCGAGACCAGCCTGACCAACATGGTGAAACCCCGTCTCTACTAAAAATACAAAAGTTAGCTGGGCATGGTGGCATGTGCCTATAATCCCAGCTACTCAGGAGGCTGAGGCAGCAGAATCACTTGAGCCCAGGAGGCAGAGGTCGCAGTGAGCCAAGATCATGCCACTGCACTCCAGCCTGGGAGACACAGCGAGAATCCCTCTCAAAAAAATAAAGTTGATTAATCCATATTAATCCATATATTGTAAGTCATGTATTACATACTATATTCTCACAATAAAGTGATCTAGAGAAAGAAAATACTGATAAGAAAATCATAAAGAAGAGAAACTATATTTACTATTCATTAAGTGGAGGTAGATGATTAAAAGGTCTTTATCCTCATCTTTACATTGAGAAGGCTAAATAAGAGGAGGGATTGATCTTGGTGTCTTAGGGATAGCAGAGACTGAAGAAAATTCATATATAGGTGGAGTTGTGCAGTTCAAACATGTGTTGTTAAAGAATCAACTGTAAGGCCGGGTACAGTGGCTCACGTCGCTAATCCCAGCACTTTGGGAGGCCGAGGTGGGAAGATCATTTGAGGTCAGGAGTTCGAGACCAGCCGGGCCAACATGGTGAAACCCCGTCTCCAATAAAAATACAAAAATTAGCTGGGTGTGGTGGCAGGCACCTGTAGTCCCAGCTACTCAGGAGGCTGAAGCAGGAGAATTGCTTGAACCCAGGAGGCGGAGGTTGCCGTGAGCCGAGATCATGCCAGTGCACTCCAGCCTGGGCAACAGAGTGAGACTCTGCCTCCACCCCCAAACTGTACAGAATTAACTGTAGTTTGATGAATGAATCATGTATGATTGCAGTATACGTAAAATCTTAGTGTTTTATATAATTTTATAATAATTTATAGTGATTTTCTGGGTCTACCTTTTAGGAAAGATATGGGAAGGCCAGAATACTGAAGATCAGAACAAAAATCCTAGGAGAAATCTAAGGTAATTTGCACTCCCAGGAGAAAGTTATGTTTCTGAAGTGAGTCTCAGAATGAAAGGAAATTTAAAAAACAAAATGAACAAGCCCAGCTTAAATTTATTTTTTAATCTTTTAAATTATTATTATTCTTATTTTTAGTCAGAGCCTTGCTTTGTTGCCCAGGCTGGAGTGCAGTGATATGATCTTGGCTCACTGCAGCCTCAGCCTCCCAGGTTCTTGTGACCCTCCCACCAGAGCCTCCTGAGTAGCCGGGACTACACCTGCACGCCACCACACCTGGTTAATTTTTGTATTTTTTGTAGAGACAGGGTTTTGGCATGTTTCCCAGGCTGGTCTTGAATTCCTGCGCTCAAGCAATCTGCCTACCTTGGCCTCCCCAAATGCTAGGATTACAGGCATAAGTCACTGCACCAGCCTAAATTTATTTAGTCTTTAAAAATTTCCTCCTAAAACATATTCTAAGAATTTACATATGAGGCTGGACATGGTGGCTCATGCCTGTAATCCTAGCACTTTCGGAGGCTGAGGCGAGCAGATTACTTGAGATCAGGAGTTTGAGACCAGCTTGGCCAACATAGCGAAACCCTTTCTCTACAAAAGTACAAAAGTTAGCCGATCATGGTGGTGTGCACCTTTAACCCCAGCTGCTTGGGAGGCTGAGGCAGGAGAATTGCATGAACATAGGAGGCAAAGGTTGCAGTGAGCCAAGATTGCACCATTGCACTCCAGCCTGGCGACACAGCAAGACTCCGTCTCAAAAAAAAAAAAAATTAGCCAAGTGTGTTGGTGCACACCTATAGTTCCAGCTACTCATGAAGCTGAAGTAGGTAGATCATTTGAGTTCAGGAGGTCAAGGCTGCATGAACCATCATCCTGCTACTGCACTCCAGCATGGGTGACAGAGCAAGATCCTGTTTCAAAAAATAAATTAATTAATTAAAAGAAAAAAAAAACAAAAACCCTGCCGGTGTTGGGTTGCCTTGCATAGCCTTCAGTTCATTCATGTTCAAACAGGGCATGAAGCCTACACTTTGCATGGTAATGTTAAAAAGTTATATCTGACCAGGTGCAGTGACTCACGTCTGTAATCCCAGCACTTTGGGAGGCCAAGGCAGGTGGATCACAAGGTCAGGAGTTTGAGAACAGCCTGGTCAACATGGCGAAACCCCATCTCTACTAAAAATACAAAATTAGCTGGGCATGGTGGCGTGCACCTCTAATCCCAGCTACTTGGGAGATGGAGGCAAGAGAATTGCTTGAACCCGGGAGGAAGAGGTTGCAGTGAGCCGAGATCGTGCCACTGCACTCTAGCCTGGGTGACAGAGCAAGACTCCATCTCAGGAAAAAAAAAAACAAAAGGAAAGAAAAAGTACATCTGATACCTATTAATACACATAAAATCATTTAGAAACAACTATTTAGTAACGTACTTCTCATTTTTTATAGATGTCATATGGTAGAGAGATTCAGTGAAAGTAAAGACAGTAGTCAATGTGGAGAACCATTTAGCCTGATTCGAGGTAGTATTGTGAACAACAGCATTTGTCCTGGAGAAGATCCATGTCAAAGCACTGAGTGTGAAGAAGTCATAATGGGTCATTTATCCCTTAATAGCCACATCAGAGTTGATGCTGGATACAAACCATGTGAGTATCAGGAATATGGCGAGAAGCCACATACACATAAACAACGTGGGAAAGCCTTCAGTTATCATCACTCCTTTCAGTCGCGTGGAAGGCCTCACACTGGAAAGAAACGCTATGAGTGTAAGGAATGTGGAAAAACCTTCAGTTCTCGTAGAAACCTTCGAAGACACATGGTAGTGCAAGGTGGAAACAGACCTTATAAATGTAAGTTGTGTGGGAAAGCTTTTTTTTGGCCCAGTTTATTGCGTATGCATGAAAGAACGCACACTGGAGAGAAACCGTATGAATGTAAGCACTGTTCTAAAGCCTTTCCTTTTTACAGTTCCTATCTAAGACATGAGAGAATGCACACTGGGGAGAAACCGTATGAATGTAAGCAGTGTTCTAAGGCCTTGCCTGATTCCAGTTCCTATATAAGACATGAAAGAACTCACACTGGAGAGAAACCCTATACATGTAAACAATGTGGGAAAGCCTTCAGTGTTTCCAGTTCCCTTCGAAGACATGAAACCACTCACAGTGCAGAGAAACCCTATGAGTGTAAGCAATGCGGGAAAGCATTTCATCATCTTGGAAGCTTTCAAATACACATGAAAAGGCACACTGGAGATCGACCACATAAATGTAAGATATGTGGGAAAGGCTTTGATCGTCCCAGTTTAGTTCGATATCATGAACGAATTCACACTGGAGAGAAACCCTATGAATGCAAGCAGTGTGGGAAAGCGTTATCTCATAGCTCAAGCTTTCGAAGACACATGATAATGCACACTGGAGGTGGACCTCATAAATGCAAGGTATGTGGGAAAGCCTTTGTTTATCCCAGTGTATGTCAAAGACACGAAAAGTCTCACACAGGAGAGAAACCCTATGAATGCAAGCAGTGTGGGAAAGCATTATCTCATAGCTCAAGCTTTCGAAGACATATGGTAATGCATACGGGAGATGGGCCGAATAAATGCAAGGTATGTGGGAAAGCCTTTGTTTATCCCAGTGTATGTCAAAGACATGAAAAGACTCACTGGAGAGAAACAATATGAATGTAAACAATGATAAAGTCTTCTATATTTCCAGTTCCCTTTGACATCATGAATAAACTTACACTGGACAGAAACCCTATAAATGTAAATGTGGGAAAGCCTTTCATAATTTTTATTCCTTTCAAAATCATGAAACAACTCACACTGGAGAGATACTATATGAATGTAAGGAATGTGGGAAAGCAATCAATTTTTTTAAAATACCATTGTCAACATGTAACAACTCACAGAGCAGAAAAACCCTGTGAGTGTAAAATATGTTGGGAAGCCATTCCCTTCGGTCATTTTGAAGCCTTCAGTCATTTTGGTAACTTAAAAGTACATGAGGCTGGACACAGTGGCTCACGCCTGTAATCCCAGCACTTTGGGTGGGCAGATCGCTTGACCTCAGGAACTTGAGACTAGCCTAGGCAAAATGGTGAAACCCTGTCCCTACAAAAAATAGAAAAATTGGCTCAAGCCTGTAATCCCAGCACTTTGGGAGGCCGAGACGGGTGGATCACGAGGTCAGGAGATCGAGACCATCCTGGCTAACACGGTGAAACCCCAT